TGCGCATGTGAACGGGATTCTGTGTTTAATGCATGTGTGTGAGGATGACTCTGAGCGTGCGTGTGTGTGTGTGTGTGTGTGTGTGTGCGCGCGCGCGCGTGTGTGCGCGCGTGCGTGCTAGTGTGAGAGTGTGTGATGATGTTGGTATGTGCATGAGTTAGTGTGGAGAAACACGTAGAAGTCTGAGCGTGAGATCCTGTAGGTGCATGTATGTATGCTAGTAAGTATGCACGTGTGTAACTGAGTGACGTGTGTGGATTTGTGGGATGTGTGGGTGGCATGTGTACATGCGTGAGCGTGTCTGAGTCCCACCCTGGCTGCCCCTGACTAACGGCAGCGGGGAAGGAGAGGCAAGCTCTGGCACTGTGCCGTGTTCACACACAGACTCACGGTCCCAAGAGAAGGTGGTCCCTGGACTTGTCGGCTCCTCTTGTCTAGGGACTCTCAACATCAGACCTTTCCCATCTCACAGCCCAAGGCACCTTGGCAACCAGATAGGAGCAGCCACAGGCCGGAGAAAGAAAATATGGAGGCAAGATGAGCAGAGTTGGCGGGGAGTCCCATACTGGGCGGGCTGGAGCTTTGGGTCCCTTTTGATGCTCACAGCTTCCTTTGTCCCTGGCCTGGCCCCCGCAGAGGCCGGTGCCGGAGGGGAAGGTGACTGCCTCCAGCCTGTTTCCAGCTGGCCAGCTCACAGAGACAGGGTTGGTGCAGGAGCGCCCCCTGCAGCTCAGGGAAAGCCTTCACACACCCGCGGGGGTCACACCAGGGCAGGCTGGTAAGGACCAGGTAGGTGTCTTGCTCCACGTCTGGTCACGTTCTCCTGAGCATCTTCCCATTTCTCTGAGTTCCAGAACACGTGTTTATTCCCCCCAACCACCATCTCCTGCAGAGCCAGGCCCTGGCCTGAGCTACCCTCAGAGCCTCTGTGCCCCGCCCATCCTGTCAGCTCTCCTCTGTTCCCAGCCCTCAGTGTGCTTTGTGCGTCCTTCATCCCTTGAGTCTTCAGGATGCTTGGTCTGGCTGGCTCTGGTCCACCGAGCTATCCAGTGCCTCAGGAGACAAGGTATTCAAAGAGACAGCTACCCACAAGGAGACCAACAAAGCTAAAAAAAAATCTCACCCCGCGGGCCCTGCAGAGACTGATGCGCCAACCAAGGACCATGCATGGAGAGGACCTAGACTCCCTGCTCAGATGTAGCCGATTGGCAGTTCAGTCTCCATGTGGGTTCCGGAGTAAGAGGAGCAGAAGCTGTCTGTGACATGAACTCGGTTACCTGCTCTTTGCTCACTTGCCCCTGGTGATGCGGCCTCACCAGGCCACAGAGGAAGAGGATTCAGGCAGTCCTGATGAGACTCCATAAGCTAGGGCAGACGGCAGGGGAGGAGAGCATCCACTTGGCAGGCAATGGGCTCAGCCCTGGGTGATGAGTCTGCCAGGCATGTTACCGCTGTGGCTGTTAATATTTTTCTCAAGTGTCTCTCATTGTTGCACAGGTTAGCTCATGGTGTCACGGAGAGGCTGGGAGTGTGTGTGGCTTAGTGGTAGGGGTACTTAGTGTTCTTGTACTGGTGTGCACGCATACAAGCATGTGCACACACATACACAGGGACAAGGGGACAAGGGAAGGAAGGAAGGAGGGAGGGACGGAGGGAGGGAGGGAAGAAATAGGAAAGAAATAAAAGAGAAATAAAAGGGGGAATCCCTGCATGACCTGAGGCAATGGTTTGAGAGGCCTTCGAGAGCTACTTCCCTCTCACCTTGCTCCCCCATCTTGAAGCTCAACAGTCCCCATTAAGCACCTGCTAAGGGCCAGGCATTGTGCTCTGATTGAGCACACAGTAGGACCCTGTGGACGTGTGGCATTACTCCATCTCTGTATCACACAGATTAGCTTTTAGGCAATCAATTGCTCTGGATGCTGCCGAGAGAAGCCAAAGACCCTCGGGCTTTGCTAATTATGCTTCACCTGGCCCTGGCCCTTATCGTCCAGATGGCTGCAAACCCCCAGTTACTGGTTCTCAACAGCTTTCCCCACCCTCCCCCCAACTTAAAAATATTTATGTATCTGTTCATTCAAGTTGGGTTTTTTGAGACAGGGTCTCACTATGTAGCTTTGGCTGGCCTTGAACTCACAGCTGTCCATCTTCCTCTGCCCCCCCCCCCCTGTGCTGGGATTAAAGGCATGTACCACCATGACCAGCACTAAGAATTTATTTTTTCTTATTTATTTTATTTTATGTACATTATATGTGTGAAGGTGTCATATCTTAGAGTTAGAGACGGTTGTGAGCTGCCACATGGGTACTGGGAATTGAACACCCGTCCTTTGGATGAACAACCAGTGCTCTTAACCACTGAGCCATCTCTCTAGTGCCCACTTAATTTATTTTATTCGTGTATGATGTGTATCCGTGTGTGTGTGTGTCTGTGTGTGCGCGCACGCACTTGTGAAAGCCAAAGAACAACCTCGGCTGTTTGTCCCTGCAGTCTGCCTTGTGTGAGGCAGGTTCTATTTCCGTGTGCTGCTACCATGCTAGCTGGCCCACGCTGAGACTCTTCTGTCTTGGTGTCCCATCTCACTACAGACGCATGGAGACTAACATGGATCCTGCAGACTCCAATACAGTCCTCACATGTGTAGTTACCCCTGAACTATATCCCAGCCCGCACCTTCTTTTTAAACTTTTTTTTCTGTTTTGTTGTTGTTGTTGTTTGTTTTGTTTTGTTTTGTTTTGTTTTGTTGTAGACAGGGTTTCTCTGTGTAGCCGTGACTACGATGGACTGGCTTTGTAGACCAGGCTGGTCTGGAAATCAGAGAGCTGCCTGCCTCTGCCTTCTCGAGTGCTGGGATTACAGATCTGTGCCGCCGCAGCTGGCCTCCACCTTATTTTTTGAGACAGGGTCTCTGAATGGACCCAGATCAAGCTAGACATGCTGGCGAGGGTCCCTGCTGTCTCTGCCTCCCGGCAGTGAGAGAAGCGTATACTGCCTTGTCTGGGCTTTTCACATGGGTGTGAGGCATGGAGCGCAGGCCCTCACACGTGTCCAAAGACTGGGGGCTTCCTCCCCGTGAATGCACCTCCCTTCCAAGCGCAGCCTGACTATGGGTCACCCCACACCTAGCACCCACATACTCTTCACTCCACGTAATTCCCTCACAGAGCATGCATGCTTCCCACATTCAAGGTCACATTCTGAGATTATGCCATGGCCTCTTGCCCTGTGCCACCTTTTCCAGAGCTGAAACAGTCCCTCTTATCTTTCCAGACCTACATCTGTGTTAGAGGAAGCCATCAGGTCTGGGTGTGTTTCCACCTCCGGGTCGGGTGCACAAGTAGAGTGGGCGAGATGAACAAGTGCATGCTAGCCGGACTGCATTTAATCCTTCCAACTCAAGAGGAGTGTCAGTTACAGGCAGGCCTGCTTTGTCTCTGCCTCTGCCGTCTTCTTTACACCGGGGCCCCTGGACCTTCCCTTTCCAGCCACTATTTCCTTCAACTGGCCGCAGGATGTTGACATCATAAAACCAGGGGACCTCGCACATGCATAATTTGTACCATGTGTGTCTACCACAAGATCCGAATAGTCCTATATGCATTGCTTATTTTGTAGGGATTTCTCCCCGGCCGTAGCCAGCTTTCTGAGCATGTTGGCTGCCAGGCAGTCAGCATGAGGACTCATCAGGTTCCTGGGAGCAGTGCCTGGCAGTGGCTCCCACACCTGCCTGAAGATTAGGCATTCCCATAGAGCCCTCAGGGACTCTGAATGCAAGGTTTGGTATAGTCTGCTGTGCTTAGAGGCAGAGACTGTGAGAAAACATCTGTGAGGAGGGAATCTGTGTGATCAAAAAGTGGGCACACTCGGGAAGCAGTGAGTTTGGGGGGTGGAGGGTAATATGGCTGGAGTTGGAAGCCAAGCGCTTGCTCTGTGCCTTCATTTCCTGTCATCAAAAAGGGAGGACGTGAGAGCTGGCTGGTGGCAGAGGCCTTTAATTCCAGCTATTCTAGAGGCAGAACAGTGGGGGAGTTCAAGGCCTACCTAGGAAGATTATTGAAAACATGTCCTCAAAAGGGAAAAAGGAACCCTGCCTTCCATGAATGAGGCTGAGTTCCAACCCAAGCATTGCAAAAGAGAAAGAAAAGGGCAGCTGCCCCTGTAGGGAACAGGGCCATGGGCCCAGGCAGCCCCAGCTCTGACCCTGGCGGGAGCACTGCTTGCCAGGCCCCGTGCTTCAGACATCTTGCGTGTTATAACAAAGCAGCACGTTCAGGTTCTTAGGGCTCAGGCCTGCCGCAGACAGGCTCTGTCTCTAGATCTGGCACCAGCAGGGAGAGCCTGTTCTCAACCTGTGCTGACACGCAGAGGCCGAGGCTTCTGAGAGGCTGGACAGTCAGCAGCTAAAAACAGCCCCACCAGGCCTTGCCATCTTATAAAACGAGGAAAGACACCCGAGGCAGCCATCTGGCCTGCTGACACTGGGTCTTCTCCACCACCAGACTTTGGCCCATCCAACCCTGAGGATGGGTCAGTTACTTTAGCTCTCAAGGCCTGGCTCCTCCTCCCTCATCCCTTCCTTGGACAGTGCACCTCACAGGAAGGCCCAGAACTTGACTTGTGATTTGAATGAGATTTCCCCCTAAGTCTTGAGACTCTGAATACTCAGTCCCTAGTTGGTGGCTGTGTAGAAAGATCAGGAGGTGTGGCCTTGCTGTAGGAAGTTTGGCCCTAAGGGCAGGTTTTGAGGCTTCAGAGTGAAGCCACTCTGCTTCCTGTTTGCTCTCAGCTGTTCCTGCTGCCATGTCTCTGTTCTGCCATGGTGGACTCTAACCATTGGGAACCCAAGACAAACTGTTCCTTCTCTAAGCTGCCTCGGTCATGGCGTCTTACCACAGCCATAGAAAAGTAACTGAGACAGTGACTTAGCAGTAAAGTAAACAGCCAACTGTTGGGACACACAAGCTGGGGTCAGCCTGGGCTACCCAGTGAGACTCAAAGCTCAAAAATAAATAAGATCTTTATTAAAGCAGCTAGAACTAGCACTGAATGTCACCTTCTAACAGGACGTCTGGGAAGCTGGAGTTAAGAGAAAGATCGTGGCTCTCCCCACCCTTCTACCAGCAACACCAAAGTCGCTTGCTTCTTATGCAAATTTTTAATTCAGAGGTTGGCCCTCCCTCTGTTTCCTCTCACCTCACCTCCAGAACAAACTGAACCACCCCAGGATCTAACTAAAGTTCTCCACAGACTTCTGCTGAGGGGGATGCTAACTCAGGGCCTCAAGCCTTCTCAGAGAGGATGCTGGGCTATCTGGCTTTGGGTATCAGCTGCCTCCTCAGAGCACCTTCTGCCGTGGGACAAGAGAAGGGCTTGGTGCCAGCAGGTGAACAGACCTAAGCAGCTTTCACCCACAGACCTGAGCCTGCCCCTCCCTGTACTCCAGGGGACAAGGACACCCCACGGAGTCCTCCTCAGTCCTTCTTGCTTCCCTGGGCGGGGCTTCTTGTGAGGAGTTTTCCAGAACTGGGCGGGGCCAACGTGGACACCGTGGGTGACTCCAGCTTCACTCTGTCCAGGAGGGTCTTCTTAAGGGCAGCAGGGGAGATCTTTTCTTGGTCAGCCATGGACTGCAGCTCTCTGCAGACAAAGCCCCAACGGGAAGGTGATAAACTTTGTAGTCAGAGCGTTCAGCCTTCCTCAGCCACTCAGCCCCAAACCCTCAACCCAACACCACCAAAACTCAGAATCCCAAACCAGGGAAACTCCCAGCTTCTCAAGCAAGAGTCCTCTTTATCTAAGCAGGGAGTGTGACAGTCATCTCATGACCCAAGCCAGACACAGTGTTCCAGTGATAACTGTAACCACACCAGAAAAAAGTATACAGGAAGTTACAGGGTTTGAATCTTGCCTCCATCATTTATCCGTTTGACCTCGGAACATCCCCATCTACAAATCAGGAGTAGTCACAGCTATCAGAACTGTGAAGTAAATTAGCAAACCCATAGCTAAAGAAAGCTTAAAACCATGCTTACCAACAGAGCCCAGAATCCGACACCACTTGTGAAATCAAGAGTGGAACCAGCCCACGCCTGGGCAGGCTAGAAATGAAAAGGACCCAAACGAGAAGAGGGGGTCACACCGACCTTGTTCGGATACAAGAGGCCTCAACTGCATTGATGAGCAGAGAGCGGAAGCCCCCGCTCTCCAGGAAGTGTAGAGCATGGATAGTGGCCCCACCGGGGGAGCAGACGTTGTCCTTGAGCTGGCCTGGATGGTCCTCTGAGTCCAGCAGCATCTTAGCTGCTCCCTGAGGTCAAAGAAGCAGTTAGAAATGGCCGCCATCCAGCTCAGTGACCCCCAAAACACAACCCGAAGGCCAAACATGCAGACACTGACCAGCAATGCCTGAGCTCCTAGTCGGACTGCTAGGCGCCGAGGCACGCCCATCTTCACCCCACCATCTGCCAGCGCGTCCAGGGCCATAAATGCCTGTGGAGATACTCTCTGAAACCAGGAAACCAGCACCCACGCCCCCTCACACCCCCATACCCCAAAGGCTGCCTTCTCTGGTGACTGGAACTAGTCAGCTCCTTCCACCAGCCAGCCACGCCCAAGAGATGAGCACAGTTACACTCTCTTCCGCCTGACCCTCCCATCACGGAGGATTCACACAGCCAGCAGGTACGTGGGTGCCACTCACATAGGCAGGCCCGCTGCCGCTGAGCCCGGTGATGGCATCGATGAGATCCTCCTCCACCTCTGTGCAGAAGCCCACGCTGCTCATCAGCTGCTCCAGGAGTTTCCCATCTTCCACCAGGGCGTGGGTGCCTGTGGCATACACAGTGGCCCCCTCTCGGACCACCACGGGCGTGTTGGTCATGCAGCGGATCACTTTGGGGGCTGGCTGGAACGCCATCAGCTTCTGGAGCAGGAGAGCAAGCCAACTGAGTGCCCTGAGCATGGGTCCTCCAGGTCTGACCCACCCTCGGCCATTCAGAGGCCACACCCCCGGCTCTCACACAACGGGCGCGGGGGGGGGGGGGGGGGTACCAGCACCTTCTCCACAGAGCTGATGGTGACACCGGCTGCGCAGGAGACCACGATGTGCCGCTCCTGCACATCAGCCCCAATCTCATCCAGGATGAAGGGGATGATGTGCGGCTTCACGGCCAGGAACAGGACATCACTGTGCCGCACCGTGTCCTTATTGCTCCGGGTCAGATTCACGCCCATCCTCTGCAGGAGAAGACGGGCCAGTCAACAGCGCTGGGTCACACGCCTAAGCCCATGCCTCCCGAACCCCAGCAACCTCTCTGCCAGGTGAGAACCCTCATGGGGGACCCGGGGAGAAGTGAAACGTCAGCACCCAGGGTCTGCGAGCAGAGCTGCGCAAGGCCCACTCCCACACTCCCAACCCAGCAGCTGTTTACTGAGCAGGGCCCGGCTACAAGGCGGACCCTCTAGGGCGCCTGGGTGAGTAGCAGGACCCTAAGGTGTTAGAGACAGAAGCCTAGACTGGGCGCAAACACGATCCATCAACTGCCTCATCGGCTGCCCTATTCCACACGGGCCAGATTTGATAAGACTTGGGCTTTTTTAAGCTTAAGCTTTAATGGGAGAAACTAACTCACCGGATCTTCTCCCAACACTTGGGAAACCGAGTCAGACTTTTCCAGACTTAAGGTTCAAAGCAAAGCAGACTAACGAACAAAAAAAAGTCTTTTCTATATGCCCCAGTGTCTGAATTCGCCCCTAACTTTGCCTGGGGGGTCCGACCACACGAGGCTGCCCCAGGGAAGGTGAAGGGCTTGTAATAATGACCTCCCTAGGAGAGGGTCAAAGCCAGCCAGGGGCGGATCACCTCAGGTCACACTTTTCCTGGGCCTCAACCTCTTTCCCACCGCCCTCCATCCCTCCTACCCTGAGCGCAGACACCGTGGGCAGGTCCATTTCCGGGGAGCTGGCTATTATCTTGTGGGCCGACAGGACTCCTGGAGAGGACAAGGTTTTTCAGGGGGCATCGTGGCCCAAGCGTGCAGTTTACCAAAGGAAGCCCACAGCAGCTCCAGCAGTGCCGGCCTCCAAGCAGATGGATGGAAATCTCCCATCCACTCGCGTTCACTCCCTCCCTCACCCACTCCCTCGTCCACTCTGGTGAGATGGACCAGGGCCGACCACGCGCTCACCTGCGGCCGTGAAACCCCGCGCCAGCGCACAGGCCAGCTGGCCAGCGCCGATGAAACCCACGCTCATGGCCGCGGGATCCCGACAAGCGCCGACCCGGAGACGCTGGGAATCCCGGGCTCAGGGTCCGCGCGCGGAAAAAAAAAAAAAAAACGGACCCGAAGCGCTCGGAGCAGCTTCCAAACCGGGATGCGCCGGGCGACTTGATGGGCGGGCGGCCCCGACAATCCCCGGAGCATCCGCCGCCAAATCCACGGGCCTCGGGCAGGCCACGTGTCCCAGGCGACCAATCCGAAGCTGGGGGCTCGGGACGGACCAATCGGCGCACTGCCCGGCCGTGCGCCCGCCCCCTGCCCTCCCTGCGGGTGGGACCCGTGGCTCCGCCGGAGCTTGTCTGCGTGGACCTGCCTCGGGCGCTGGGATTTCCTGTTTGGGGGGGAGTTGCTTTCTGACTCTCGTCCCGGAGTGATGTCTCCAAAGCTCCTAGTAGAGCTGAACCCCACGTGGAGACCAGGAGACACCAGGGCACCAGCTGTACCCGTCTAGGGTCAGGGGAAGCCGGCTTCGGCATGCTCCTTCCGAAGAAGAATTAGGTGGAAAAGACGAACTACTACGTAGTGATTTGTTGACTTACTTAAAGCACCGCTTGCACGGCCTGTTTGCCAGGCATAACTTCACTTGCTCCGTGGAACGGCGTGACCTGGAGAAACAGCTAAAACAATGGGTCGTTGTCCTCAACCACCTGCTGGCTGCCACTTCCGTGACATCTTGCTTGCTTGCTCACCCCTAGGGTATAGAATGAGAATACAAACTGGACCCGGCATCAAAGCCTTTCAAAGCTGTCCCAGCTTCACCCAACAGTGACGAGATCTCCTCTCTTCCAATAGGACTGTACTGTAATGCTTATTCCAGAAAGATTCTCGTGACATGTCCAGACCGCTGGGCAGCCACCGGGAGGGGTTGGTTTTGGAAAGTGTCTCCCTATAGCCTACGCTGGTCTCGAACTCTTGACTTCCCTGCCTTACCCTCTTGAGTGATAGGATAATGGGGGTGCAGAACATAAATTTCTATAATATACAAATCATAAGCAATTTCCCAATGCCACCAAAAAGATTGTAAACAAGAGTTATCTATTATCTATCTATCTATCTATCTATCTATCTATCTATCTATCTATCTATC